GCCACTGCGCGTCTATATTTTCAATGCAGTTCCACCGCGGACTTTCGTCCAGGAAGTTTCCCATTTTTAATTTTTGATTTGCCATACCTTGTGAATGTACGTTTTGTACGTGCTCCGTTGCCCAACCCTGCTGGGATGCCTGGTCATCGTGGGTCCGCTCTTCCTAAAGGTACGAGAGTATTTCTCTCTTGAGTCCAATATCTTTTTCTTTTGGCTCCGATACCCATGCATGAGAAATGCCATAGATGGGTTTTCGGAGTATTTGGACTCAAGTGGGGGGAATAAACTGCTGACCTTTTCGCCTCCTGCTACCATCTTGATATTTGTTTTATTGGAACGGGTGCCACCCATTGAAATGTTTAGAAAATTTTCTGGAAATGTTGAGAGAAATATTCAAAGCCTTGTTATTGTTAGGCTTAGAATATTTTAACGGTAATTTCAGTATTCTTATACCTTGACCGCATATTCGACTCGATTTCGAATCTCTGGAAGTCTTTCCTTCCTTCCATTACATAGCTGCTCGCACATACGTTCAGCCTGTTCTGACTCAGATTTTGAGAAAGTGTGGCGCTAATTGACCTAATAGCTATGTGGCCTTCGGGGCTGTGGACCAAATGGAGCATGGACACATAACGCCATTTGAAACTCGAGCTAGGTTGCTAGTTTCTTACTTGGTTGCCAGTCAACTCGTTTCTCCTTTCCCTTCCTCATTTTCTGCTTTCCATTATATTCATGCATATTCATTTTGTTCCCCTCCGTCGACAGCATGTTTACGGTTTCCGCCCCCACCGCATCTTATTTTGTGGAGCCTGATGAATTATGGAATTTTCGAAAGGAAAGCCCTTCATTTCAATTTCCGTTCTTGACGGGAGTTTCTTGACTGCCGGTTTGATTCATCTTTTGAACTGCCTCGATTTTGTTCTTGTGAAGCCAAAACTGGAAAATTTGTCGCCGATTCCTCCGCTCGACCGCTCAGGATGTTACTTTTAATTTTTTTTTAAGTCCATGCTGCTATCAGTATTTCTTAGAAATTTCTGAGATGTGAAGCTTGCCGAGCGCAGTCCAGTAGTGGCCAGCGGGGCTTCTTTATGTAAAAGGTGGGCTTCCGTTGAACGAATCATCGAACGATTCGAATTCTGAATATCAACAATCACGATTCTTTTCTCTTATCAGATTTCATATGAATCTAGAAAGGTGAAGGGTCTCATACTCAATTCCCATATATGTGCATATTTAGCGTTGCGATGAAGCATCTCATCCTTATGCACTCCCTGCCCTGTCCGTACACGAATTTTCGTTTGAATCGCTGTTATATTTTGTTAGTTTTTGCGAGTTAAGAAAGTGGAAATAGACACAGACAGGGACTGGAGTGGAAAAAGTGGCGTTCGTGGAAAGAAGGCCTACTAATATGTAGGGGCAGGATACTTCCTGCAGCCTGTTCCTCGTCAATGCCAAAGCTATCGTTAGATTGAATGTAATGTCATAGCAGTCTAATCGCAAAGTGAAATTCTGGCCCCAGCTAAAATTAAATCGTAATCTAAGCAGCCCGAAGAGGCCGAGCTAGCTGCAGACGTAGCCTACATGCAGACTCTCAGGGAGGGGAAGGAAAGGAAAGCCCAGTCCCAGTCGGCAATCCCTGCTCTCTCCCGCTTCTCGCTTTGGGTCTTCCGTATCGATCCAGGGCAGTCAAGAAGGCTGCATGACGCTGCATAGGCCTACCCTACCATACACGTTGTTCCAGGGGGGGTGGTTCGGCTGGATGCGACCTCCAAAGCCGCTTTCACGTCCGTGAATCTGTCACTCTTGAAAGATATCTTCTCAAGGCATTCGTAAACAGCACTCAGCTTTCTCATGATCGGCAGCCGCATTCGTTCCCTTCTCTCGCCCCCCCCCCCCCCTCTCTCGCTTTCTGTGTCATTAAGTCAATATCACCCGGTGAGCAAGATCTCTTGGAGGCTTGAATGGGGAGTTCTCGAGTGCCGCCACTCCAAATTTGTACCCCCTACGTTGATAGAAGGAATGAGAAAAAAAAAATACACGGGAGAATTCTTTCTCGTTTGTGAGAGACGATAAGGAATTCCGCAATGAACATTGTACTGATAATGTATGAAGAATGAGGCTGGGAAGAACCCGGATGGAGAACGGAAGAAGATAAATAAGAGATTCCTCTAGACTTCCTATGGGGGAGTGAATGTTGTCTCCAAGCCTGCCCAGAGTGGTATTGATTCCTGGCAAGGGAAGCACGCGAGAAGGAAGGACTTCCATTATTGCCATTTGGATTCATTCCAGCACTGGATGCCGCCTTCCATTTTTTTCTCCACTTCTGACGTGGATTTGTTCCGTGGACCTTCTGTTCTGCCCCATCACATTGCAAGGATTTGTTTGGATTGGATCGTTCCACATGGTTGTAATCCCAAGGATCGACCAGATGGCTTCATGTTAGCCATGACGTCAAAGGGAGGGGAAAGAAACTGGTCCTCGTGCCTCTGAATGCCATCCTCACGTATATCACAAAGTTCACTTATGCTTGGGACCTTTCATAATGAGATGCATTCGGCGAATTGCCCGCCATTATCCTTGCATCTCCATCGCTTGGAGACAGATTATACGTGAATTGTTATTTTATGTTGTAGGCCGAGATCTTGAGAAATTCCTTTTGGGTGCGGGAATGCATTATTCAGCATTGATTATTAACATTCGCAACTGATCCTATTACGTCATGGAAATTCGTGGAAACTGCGGCTTGAGTCGTGTTTTTTCTGTGGTCACGCGATTCTTGCCTGTCCGCATTAGAGGATGGAGAGGGGAAAACTCCCTGAGCTCTGAATTCATTCATGAGAACGATATGGAGGTCTTTGCTCGTCATTGTGGATTTTGATTTTTGGGGGTGGGGAAGGAATGTTCAATTTGGATTCTCAGTTTCATCTGAGCTGGGTGCCAAGGGGTGATACAATTTCCTCGTGCATATTGACTACAATTAGTCTGTTTCCCTACAGATCCTACCAAGCTATGTCCCTTTTCTGTCCAATCCTCCGAAGAAGGAAGAAGGACTTGACCTTTTACGGGGAGATGCCGTCAAGATTTAACGGGGGAAATCGAGAACCCGTTCCTAACTGGGGGTCAAGAAGAGATTTAAAGTTTCATGGCTTAGAAGGGCACGTGCATTATCCCTCAATCCCTGACAGGGAGTAGTTATTCAGCGGGAACGGAACGTAGCGGCGAGAAAACAGAATCGAGAGCTTCGTCTTCGTGACTCATGAATCAAGATAGGACTGAGTATAGGTCACATTGCTCCTTCCCATCCCCAGCTGAGGAAGGGTGGGAAATCTATAGAGGGAGATGATAGATGGCATGCGTGGGGAGGAGGAACGCACACACACGAGTCTATAGGCATCACCCTTGACCTTTTTCTACCCTCCCAGGCTCCCCTCCCCCATTGGCCTCAGTTATCCATCCATAGGATTCCCATTCTCCTAGCCACCGCGGAGAGACCTTGCCACTGCATAGGTCTGCTGTATAGCCCTCTCCCCCAGGCCGGCTCATTATCTCTCTCTTTTCTTTTTCCATGGCATGGCATCATTTCGCAAGCCTGCCTTTCCATTGCGTGACCCATTCGGGCCACTGGGTCAGGCACATCGATCCCTCGAAATATCCCCCCTCCCTAAAACAAGGGCCGTGACTGACAAAATGTGCACTGCAGGTGGAGAGAAGGATGGCAGGGAGCCAAGGAATATCGGCTCCTAAGCCCGAGTTCGTCTCTCTCTCTCTCTCTCTCTCTCTGTTGCTTTTCACGTCTCTTTTTTGGAGCAGGTGGGAGCGATCAATTCTCTCAGTCTCCCCTCCTCTTGTCTTCTAGTCCCTGTACCCCTTCCTTCCTCTCTTTCTTCGTTAAAAGGCAGAAGACAGGCGTAAAGAAATGTTTGGTCTTCCAGTCTTCAGGTTTACAAGAAGTCAATTGGTAGAGTTTCTGTTTACACAATCTGCGCATTAGTAGTCGGAGAGTTCCATATGAAGATGCGGAAGACAAATGATCAAGTGGAAATTGCCAAGACTGCTAATGTGAGGGTGAGGGGTGAACGCTGCAAGTCACCCAAGAGCAAATTGTGAAATCACCATGTTACCTTCCAAATCGAAGTGTGGTCATGGTAATATGGCAGTAGTTAAAAAAAACTCACTGTGACATGTTTTTAGTCGTCAGACATCCTTTGAGTTCAATTGGTTTTCGCCATGTTTACCTTACACGGTCAGCAGTATAGAGTAGACGTCTGTAGAAACTACCTCTGTAACGTTTGCGCCATGGTGAAACCTGCATTCGCTTCCTCCATTGGGTGTTCTAGGGCTTCCTTGAAGTCCTTTATGTTTTTCATTCTTCCCTTGAAACTCTGATTCTCATCTCCCTACAACGTGCTTAATTCTTGACCTATGAAGTATTTGTTTGGTTCAAATGAGTATTTCAATTCCACTGCTGTTCTTATGAAGGGAAAATTGAGAGTGCATATTGTGAAAGCTTGAAAGGCAAGTAGAGAGCAATTACTTTAAGTATGGCTTTCAAGTTATCTGTGTGGTGAAGAGTAGGAAGCTCTATTAATGCCTGGATTTGAAGTGAGTGTGGCACTCAGGAGAGGACACCAAAATGACATGGAGTGTGGCCTGACCCTCTCCCCACCTTGGTCATTTGTGACCCTATTTCCAGGTCTCTCTCTCTATAGATTTTTCTGTTAAACCAATGAAGCAATACTGTTGGGATATTTGCTATAATTTTATCTTGGGCTATACTTTTTATGAACTACCCCTATAATGAACACCACTTCTGGAGTCTTCTTTGTACAGTCTCATAATTTTTTGTCCTGATTTGATTGCAAGAACTGGGAACAATAATGCTGACATGATGCTAGCCTTAATCTTCCTCACTGTCAATACATGTCAAGAATGATGTTTTCTTCTGCATCACTCCTGTGGAATCCATTTGTAACCATGTGGTTAATCCCTTGCCATTTCAGGTCTTTCAGGGAACCAGAGTGAATTGGAACAGAGGAGGGAGGTGTTTGGTTCAAATGTGATCCCACCAAAGCCGCCCAAGACTTTCCTTCGACTAGTCTGGGAAGCATTGCAAGATGTCACATTAATCATCCTCATCATAGCTGCCGTTATCTCCTTAGTTCTTAGCTACATGCCTCGAGAAGGTTAGTTGAAAAGTAAATTTATTTTAGGCAGTGAGGAAAAGTCAAGTAAACCTAAGCTAAAGCTGCTACTGTACCTGGACTCAGTTCCATATAAAGAGACCAGGAGATGGAGTGGCATTACAACATTGTCCATCAAGAATATGTAGATCTGTTCCTGAAAACACAAAGAATTCCATTAGACTGCCTCTTTTTTCTCTGACATTCCTCCTGAAAGAAATTATGGAGATTGATGTGACTCAGAACAATCAACATTCCTAATCTGAAAATGCAGTACACCACTATTCCACATTGCTTGGTCTGTTATCTAAAATTCAGCTTCAGAAGGTATCTATTGGAATTGAGATATGCATTTTGCCACCCCCACCTCAAAGATTGTAGAATAGGGAAAATATGTTCCAGGAGTTTTGGGCTCATTCTTGAAACTGTGGTTCAAGAAAAATTCAGAAAAAATTTTACAAATTCAAGCATGGGGAGTAAATATGTCCATAACTTGAATCTTTACCTCAGCGGGGCAAGTAGTTGTATTCAGACAAGTTAAGTGTATGTATATAGAAGTTATGAGGTGCATTCAAAAAGTTATAATCAATATTTATCATGTGTCTATCAGTAGAGAGAACTACTAATTGTGCTTTTTTTTTTGCTTGATGCATTTACTGCATGTCCTAATCTTGATGACAACATTTGTTAGATCATTCTTTCATGAGCTTATGTTGCTTTGAAAACCAGCATTTCTTAAGATATGACCTTTGGGACCATGATGTATGTTTCATCTTACTATGGAGAACTTGCAATTTCTTGTCCTTGAGATTCATGTGAATATCAAGCTGTGATCATTGCTCAACCATGCAGCAAAGGAAATCTCTGGTGGCACAATGACTCTTGGAGGATGGTTCCTTGGTAGCAGTCATGTTTTAGAATGGGCCTAGCTGTTCACTGATGACCAAAAAAAGACTATTAGCCCTACTTTGTATGTTTCTATCTTCTCAAGGTATTCATGTGCTAGCAGCTATTGTCTGTTTTGTAGCCATGGTTCAATGTACAAAGATGCTTATCTGCTGGGACCCAGTTCTCCTGAGAATCCTATTTAAAAAAATCCAAATGATTGAATGCAGGGTCTTAGAAGGTTAGGACTGTGTACCAACCTCTGTTCCTGTCAGTGATTATATTGGTAATTCATGAGTCATTTTGTCATTTTCAGTGAGGCCATCTATCTATCTCTTTATAAAAAGTTACAAAGCCAATATCTGAAGCGTAAAAGCAGTAGGAAATACTAATTCAAAATCTATATCCTGTCATAACTGTATCTGCTATTCTATGAGTCATTCATATGATTTTCAAAAGAATTTCCTTGGATTAGAAGCAATCTCCTATCACCATTCAATGCTTTTTCTATTGTTATATGAGGGTAAGTAAAAAAGTAAGGTGAATTTTTCAGTATAGACCACTCCCTGACTCCGGTTCAAACAAAGCTCAGCTTATCATATTTCTTATTTGTCATGCATACTTGTGCAATATTTTCTTTTTTTTACCCTCTGGTGTTCATTAATAGCATGGAGTTTTGTACCTCTCCTGCCTGTAACCAATTTCATTCTGATACCTTGCATCATGGATTACAGTTTTCATTCTCAGTCATGAGGTGAATTTTTCATCTTTTGACTTAGCGGAAATGAAGTCAGATGACAGTGAAGAACATGCAGGATGGATTGAGGGTGTTGCAATTTTCGTCACTGTCGTAATTGTTGTCTTCGTTACTGCTGGGAATGATTACACCAAAGAACGACAGTTCCGAGGCCTTCAATCTCGCATTGAGGGGGAGCATAAGTTCGCTGTCATCAGAGGTGGCAGCGTGGAGCAGATCAATGTGGGGGAAATAGTCGTGGGTGACATCTGTCAGGTGGGTCTTTTAGATGAACACACATTCATGTTTCTGGTGGAATGGGTCAACCACTACAACCATTCATACAGGTGAAGTATGGGGACTTATTACCGGCTGATGGAATTGTCATTCAAAGCAATGATCTCAAGGTTGATGAGTCATCTCTTACTGGGGAATCAGATCAGGTCAAGAAGGGGGAGAAGATTGATCCTATGGTCCTTTCAGGTGAGTGCCAACTTCTGCACTCTTGTAGAACAATATTGATATGAATCTATATAATCCACTATGTTTTATATTGTTGCTCATAGGCACACATATTATGGAGGGAAGTGGGAAGATCCTGGTAACAGCTGTGGGTATCAATTCTCAAGCTGGAATTATCTTCACTCTCCTTGGAGCTGCTATGGATGAGCAACAGAAGCAAGCTAAGCAACGGAAGAAGGATGCAAAACGGAAAAGGAAATCAGATGCAACCAGTGATCAGAGCCCAGTTGACTTGGAGCAAGGACTGACAGGGAATAGTCATGCAGCTGCATTACCTCAGGTCCAGGTTGAAAACCCAGACAAGGAAATGGGTACAAGTCCTGAAGTCTCATCGAAGTCAAGGGAAAAGTCTGTCTTGCAGGCCAAGCTGACTCGCTTGGCCATTCAGATTGGCTATGCTGGCTCTGCAATTGCTATGCTCACTGTCTTGACATTGACTGTCCGGTATTGCATTGACAAGTTTTGGTATTTGGGAGAACCATGGCACAGCTATCATGCGAGTTATTTTGTCAAGTTCTTCATCATCGGTGTCACTGTGCTGGTTGTAGCCGTCCCTGAAGGCTTGCCTCTTGCTGTTACCCTTTCCCTGGCTTACTCTGTCAAGGTAACACCAGTCTCTATTATGTTGTCACAAATTTGATAAAAGGGCAAATATGCAGTTTTGCACATTTTCAAGAGATAAGAAAATGTCAATTTTTAAAAATAGAAGAATGAATTTTATTAAATAGCCACCTTTGCCCCAGAACGTTGATAGCCTGTGCTCCCTGGTGCGGCAATAAATGTTCTTCTGCCACTACGAAAGGTAAATTAATGCTCTTATGAAAATTTTCAAGATTGTATGTGTGTCCTTTTGTCTGACCTGTGATGATATTTACCTGTTTCTCTGCTATTGAGTTGAATGCAGGTGCAAGAGTTTTGCTGTAAATTGTGGATTATCCATTTTCCAGAAAATGATGAGTGACAACAACTTGGTGAGGCACTTGGATGCTTGTGAGACTATGGGGAATGCAACTTCCATCTGTTCAGACAAAACAGGCACTCTGACCACCAACAGGTATGAGAATGCAGTCATTTAATATGTCCTTCACACCATGACAGTTTTAGGAATTGACTGGAACTTGGCATTGTTAACCCCTTTTCATTCAAAAGATAAAGCATCCAGTAAACATCCCAGTTTGCTCATGTAGGGAGATTCTGCTGGACAGGTGGTTCCTCCATTGAGGCATTACAGTCCATATTCCCCGACTTGAAGAGTTGATCTCTTTTTTTCCTTCTGCTGAGGGTTTTACTAATTGCTCTGTGGTTGTTACATGATATGCTATCATCTGCTAGACACATAAGACTTAAAACTTATAAATTGGCCCTGTTCAGCTTGCATGGTACATAGGTGTGTACTTGTTGCTGTTATAGGATGACAGTTGTCCAGAGTTTCATCTGCTCCAAGCATCACAAGCTCACTCCTAAGTTCACAGATATCCCAGCTCACCTTGCTGATATCCTCCTGCATTGCATCTCCATCAACAGTGCTTACACTTCCAAAGTCCTGGTGAGAGATCCACTTCCATCACCTTCATGATCATGCATTTCCCCTTCATGTCTAATCCTTACTCATCACAGCCACCCAAGGAACGGGGAGGGCTTCCAGATCAAGTGGGCAATAAGACAGATTGTGCACTGTTGGGGTTCATTCAGGATATGAGTCAGTCTTACCAGGCCGTTCGTGAGGAATATCCTGAGGAAGTTCTCCACAAGGTGTATACATTCAACTCAATTCGCAAAAGCATGTCAACGGTGATTCGGCGGCCAGGTGGTGGGTTTCGTGTGTTCACCAAAGGAGCCTCCGAGATTGTGATGAAGAAATGCTCTTTCATTTACGGGAAAGAGGGGAAGCTGGAAACTTTTACAAAAGACATGCAGGATAGAGTTGTACAGACTGTGATTGAGCCGATGGCCAGTGATGGGTTGAGGACCATCTCACTGGCGTATCGTGATTTTGTGCCAGGAACGGCTGATATCAACCAGGTGCACTACACACAGGAACCCAAATGGGATGATGAAGATAACATAGTCACCAACCTGACATGCATTGCGATATTTGGCATCGAGGACCCTGTTCGTCCTGAGGTACAAGCTTCCCGATTCCTGTGTTTTCCCTCCCCCATTTTATCCTGGATAGTAATCCCTGAGTCTCCTCCTTCGTGACAGGTGCCAGAGGCAATTCAGTCATGCCAACAAGCAGGAATCACTGTACGCATGGTCACTGGTGACAACATTAATACAGCCCGGTCAATTGCTACCAAATGTGGGATATACAAAGAAGGTTCAGATCTCCTCATCCTGGAAGGGAAGGATTTCAATAAGCGCATTCGTGACTCTAGTGGTCAGGTGAGGCAACTAGCATGGGTGTCATATGTTACTACAGAGCACTGAATTTATGCTTCTCATCTATGATTTTTCTCCACTGTAGATCCAACAACACCTCATAGACAAAATTTGGCCCAAACTCAGGGTATTAGCCCGGTCTTCTCCTACAGACAAGTATAACTTGGTCAAAGGAATCATCGACTCTAAATTGAATCCCAGCCGTGAAGTGGTTGCTGTCACTGGTGATGGGACAAATGACGCCCCTGCCCTAAAGAAGGCAGATGTTGGCTTTGCCATGGTGAGGCAACTAGCTTCATTTTTCAATATCAAAAGATCAAGTTTGTGACCAAAGATGACATGCAGTTTATCAGTATCCTTGGACCAATTTGTGAATGCTTTGTATGTGTCCTTGAAAATTTTCAGGGGATTGCTGGGACAGATGTAGCAAAGGAGGCATCTGACATCATCCTCACAGATGACAATTTCACAAGTATAGTGAAAGCAGTAATGTGGGGACGTAATGTATATGACTCAATAGCAAAATTCCTTCAGTTTCAACTGACAGTGAATGTGGTGGCAGTGATTGTGGCCTTTGGGGGAGCCTGTGCCATTGAAGACTCTCCTTTAAAGGTGAGTGTCTTCCCTCTTTTCTATCCTTAAGTCCACCTAGCCAATCCCCAGTTGTCCATGGTATTTTATTTACCCAGTTTCCTTTATATGTGCATTGTAGGCAGTGCAAATGTTGTGGGTGAATCTCATTATGGACACTTTGGCATCTCTGGCCTTGGCCACAGAGTTGCCAACATCAGAGTTGCTATTGAGGAAGCCATATGGACGCACGAAGCCTCTCATTTCACGCACCATGTTCAAAAACATGATTGGCCAAAGCATTTACATGCTTACTGTCATTTTCTTCCTTCTATTCTATGGTGAGTTCTTTGATAGACTTCGTGAGACTGGTATGTGTAATTTCTCATCTTTGTTCAAATTGCTGATGTGCTGTTTGAGATTCTAAGGCTGGGATGTAGAGTAGTCTTTGTCTTGATAGCATAAGTCTCAAGTTTCCCCTTCTCCAGTGCATTGTTTCATGTTAGACTATGGAACAAGAATGTGTTTTAACCCGTTGAGGCATGTATATCTACGTTTTTGTTGTAATTCAGTTTCCTGGAAAGACTTACACATTAGAATATTAAATACATAAATATTGTAATGAAATCTTGCCTAAGAGCGGGCACCAGTACCCTTTAGGCCAATACATGGTTTTGTCCTGAGTCTACCATGACATTAATAATGAAAATAATTTGATATGGTGGTTTCACAGTGAAACCACTTTGTCAGAAAGGGTTAACACAGAGGCTCACACTTGAGTCCTGTTTGTTGGGTGCACCATATTAAGGGCCACAGCTTCCAGGCAGTGAATGTGTTTGTGGAAGAGATATTCCTTACCCAAGTAATCCTTCTCTCAAAAAGCTGCTTTGCCATGGATGTACCTCATGTTCACAAAGATGGGACAGTAGATAGGCTTTTTCCTCTGAGAAAATAATGTAAGCTTTGACTTGCTCTTTTCATAGCACCCACCATGTTGGATATCGACAGTGGACTGTTTGCAGACTTGCATGCTGCACCATCAGAACATTTCACCATAATCTTCAATGTCTTTGTCCTCATGACCCTGTTCAATGAAATAAATGCACGCAAGATCCATGGGCAACGGAATGTTTTCAGTGGGGTATTCAGCAACCCCATTTTCTGCAGTATCTGGTTTACTACAATAGTTCTTCAGGTGAAGCCTAGTTTTTTTTAATATTTTTTGTCCTACCCTGTAATTGAGTGAATGCAAAGATTGCCAATTTTCCAATACTATTGCGGGTTGTCTTTTAACAGATACTGATTGTGCAATTTGGAGGCCGGCCACTGTCAACATCAGGACTCCAGTTGGATCATTGGATGTGGTGTATATTCTTTGGACTTGGCACACTCATCTGGGGCCAGGTCATCACCACAATCCCCACCAAAAAGCTTCCCAAGATACTTACGTGAGTATCTCAATCACTTCTCTCGAATGCTATGGACTCAAATCTAGTCTTTTAAAGGATAGAAGAAATATTCATCTGACTGGATAATTTTTACCAGTTTGTTTTAAAAAAAAAAAACCATCAAAGTCATGATGGTTTTTTTTTGGGGGGGGGGGGGGTTTCCCTGTCCCTGTCCCTGTCCCTGTCCCTGTCCCTGTCCCTGTCCCTGTCCCTGTCCCTGTCCCTGTCCCTGCCCCTGTCCCTGTCCCACCTGTCCCTGTCCCTGTCCCTGTCCCTGTCCCTGTCCCTGTCCCTGTCCCTGTCCCTGTCCCTGTCCCTGTCCCTGTCCCTGTCCCTGTCCCTGTCCCTGTCCCTGTCATTCAGTCGTTATGAGAAAGGATTAGAAGTTGACATTTGAAGGGAGGAATTTTTTATTTCCTCAGCTGATATAATTGAATCCACCAGACCTGAGGGCTTATCCCTTCTTGATCCTAATGCAAGTATGATCATCTGACTTTCAGTATATTCCTTACCAGTTGTCCTTGAGGTACCAGTGAGGATGATTGCTAGAGCTTTTCAATACCTTCATGCATTGGCTGGGTCCCTGGCCATTAACATAAAATTGGTTAAAATGAAGTTGTGGAACCCCAGGACTCATGTCTATTGGTTGGATGATTTATTGAGGGCCAATGAAATAGTTGCAAATGATAATTGCTTGAAATGTTGGCCTGTGAGTGTGATCTCCATGCCAACTTTGCCCTCATCTCAGCCCATTAGCTTCTGTCACCTGTGGATTTGTGGTCTCCCAACTCTAAGCAGCTGGAATTTCAAAATGCTGCAAATTCCTAAATTGTTTCCTGCCTTTACAAGGCTCATTTTCTGACTTACTGCCACATTCCCTCAAAATAAATTCACCTCACACCTTCCCAGTCTCATATTATCCCTTCTTTGCTGCATACTCTATGGCTTGGCTTGATTTGGTATGAGATGGGATTTGGTATGGTAGGTATGGCCGTGGGCAACCTAAGGACATGGAACTGACTGACACAATTTTGGAGGAACGTGAGCAAGACATGGACCTGAGTGATAAGAAGAGGAGCAGTGGACAAATACTCTGGATCCGAGGTCTCACACGTCTCCAGACCCAGGTATGGCGCTCGTGTCCCTTTCCCGCCCTTCTCCGCCTGGCTTCTCCTGGTTCTGTCCTTGTTCTCTTTCATCTTTTTCCCTTTGCAAAGCTCTAATGCCAGCCGTGTCTAAGAGAAAATACCTTGTGATGAGATAAACCAAAACATTAAGGAAAAAAATATGGATGATATGTAGATATATTGTATAGAGGTGTGGAGAGTATCCAAGCAGCGGATGAAGGCTAAAAGGTTCAACGTTGAGAGCATTCACCCCCGAGAGAATGGACTTTTTCGACATGCATCGTCCTTACCCCCCTGGTTCTTTCTTCTCACCCCTTCTCTATCTTTCCTATCCTGAGACAAGTTGGCAAACTTTGACCTCATTTGCACTTGGAAGCCTTCACTCACTCACATTCTCTCTCCCCAGATCCCCAGTAACTCTATCTGTCTGTTTGTCACCATTGAGTTTCTTTTCTGACATGAGGGCCAAAGCGAAGAGAGTTCACGTGATGCCGGTACTTGCTTCCACAGCTCCGAGTTATCAGGGCATTCAAGAGTATGCTCGAGGACTTCGAAGAACGTCGCAGCGTGCATAGCTGGCACAGTTACCGTAGTATTCGAGGCATACGTGGCCAGCCGGGCACGGGGGAGGCCCAGCTGTGTTTCATAGACGATGACAGCAACCCGAAAACACCCCCCAAGTCCACACAGGATAAAAATCACCTCATCCAAAATCATCACCCTCAGACTCTCGCTCTTTCCCCTCATCACTTCCCATCGTTGAACCCGAGTTCAGATTCCCCGGGAAGTGGAAATCTGTCCCCTCCAAAATTCCTTCGCCCTCTCTGGGATCTCCCGAAATTTGCCTCTGAGACACGTATCTAACAGTACTAACAAGAACACTGTTGCTGTCGTCTGTCTATCTGACTCTCTCTCTCGGGGCAGGGCGTAAGTCGTTTGATCCACTCACTGTATCACGCATATACACTGTTTCTCTTTCCCTTTTGAACCCCCGATTTGATGAGAGTCATGCATGGCCTCACCCTTGACCCTATCAGACATATCAGACCTTTCTGTTCATCTCTCTTCATCTGTCTCTGTCTTCCTGTTCCTGCTTTCCTTCTTCCTCATTGAAGCAGAGTTCTTTGAGTGCAAGCAAGCAAGCAACCAAGCCAGCAACCCAGCAACCCATCCACCTTCTTGTCTGTCTGTCAGTCTGTCTGTCCCCATTTCACCTGAGCAGATGCAGGTCTTTTGTACCCATCTTTTGGGGGTTTTTTATTTATTTATCCAGACATGATTTCCTTGAGCTTTTCCCCCACCCACTTTCTTGTGCCTTTTCCTGCCTCTGCTCACTCACATATACACTCTCTCCACATCTTGACAATCTCTCTTCTTCAGTTCTCATCTTTTTTCCTCCCTTTCCTTCTACTTCTGGCTTTCTCGATTTTCATCTTTCTCTCACTCTCTCTCTCTCTTTCCTCATTCACTATGCCTGTCATTAGAGTGATGGGACACAGAATCCAGGTATGGGATTCCTTGTATAGAAAGGTTGAAATGCGTGGAACTCGAAGATGCACTATGAAGAGGGAAAAGGAAGCAGCTGGACATAGATGAAGAACACGTGCCTCCCTCTTAGTCTTCACTCACTCACTATCCCTCCCTCTCTCCTCCTTTCTCTCCCTCCCTGACTCGTATATTTGCTCTTGAAGGTGATCGGGGGTGAATTACAAGAACGACTTATCCCAGTCCCGTACAGCAAGAGTTCCACTGATCAAGCTGTAAGCTTCTCTTCCAGTTTCCAGTGTTCCATGAGCCGTTTTTTCTAACTTGTCTTGTCTTTTCTTTCCTCTTTTATTTCCTCTTCCTTTTTCTTCTCTCTCTTTCTCTATTTCCATTCCTCTTTCGCTCTTTTCTTTCTTTCATCTTTTCTTTCCTTCCTACCTTCACTTCGTCACTGCTGCTTATAGGAGCCTGGGAAATTGCCTGAATGGCATCCAGAGGACTTGTTTGAAACTGTAAGCAGCATATAATCTACCTCTGTCTCTGTCTTTGTCCTTCTTGTTTCCCACCTCTCTTCTTTCCTTTATTTTTTTTCTTTGCTTTCTCCCTTCATCTTCCTCTTCTTTTTTTCTGCCCTTCACATTTCTCTTCTGTTTTTTGTTTTCTTACTTGTTCCACTTTCCCTCTTCACTTTTTTCTTTTTCTTTCTTTCTTTCTCTCTCCCTCTCCCATTTTTTTCATTCACTTCTTGATGTCCGGATTTTTTTTCTCACATCACACTCACAAAGAGATTGGGTAGAGCATGGAAGCATGTCCCTTGATTTCCCCCCCTGCAACCATCCTTTTTGCATTCCTTCTCTTAGTCTTGACAGCTCTGCCTTGCCTCTCAACTCAGTCACGTAAGTAGATTTTATTTCTAGCCTACTTTAGTTGTCATCATTTTCATTTTCCAGCATGGTGCATGGTTCCATTTGGTGTTGGGACCCCATAGTATAGACTTCCTGTCTCAGTTTAGTCTAGTTTAATGTCATCCTACAACTCTCCTTCTGCACAACTTATTTGACCTTGCCACTCATCACTTTACAGTCATTCAGAGTTATACATCCAGTATGAAATAATATTAGATGCCTGCCCAATCCAATCCAGCTAGTGTTGCAGAGGGGGAGTTGTGCTAGTTGTGAAGCAATGCGTCTTTGGATGAAGATCCTGAATAAATGAATTTGTGTTTATTGGAATATGGGAATAAGGAAAAGGAACTATTTGAATGAGGGATCTTCATCCTTGTCCTGAGTGTCACCTTGTTTACGTGGGGAACATGGGGATGCCTCAGCCCTGGGAGAAAGTTTTTCATTGACCACAGTGATCTTGATGCGTTGTTGCAGATGGACAAAAGCTCATACCATCTACCCATCATGCCTCCCCTTCTTTCAACACCTTTATTCTGTATTCCATGACCTGCACTGCTGGTGCAATCCTGGTTGTGACTTTGCACCTGTGCAGCTAATGGAGTGCACTATAGGATTCTTAAGTTGCTCTGCCATCATGGCTAATCGAGAGGAGTCAGTCTGAATAGAGGGGGGAGCCGCTGTGCCAATATCATAGGAGTCAGGATTAAAGCAAAAAATTTTAATGATCCTCTTTGGCCCTCCATCCCTGCATGGTTTTTCTGCTGTAAACTGTTGTGTGAATACAACTCCCTTTAATTGTGTGAATCCTGTAATGTTGTGAAACCTGATGCTGTCATGACCTGATGAATGTCCTGTCTTCCCTAATCATTGGAGCCTAAACAAAATCACAATGCAGTTGCTGATATTTAAATGTAATAAATGAAAAGACCAAGCCAAATGAGAATGAGCATGCATATGTCATCAACTGATCCCACAAGTTCCCCCATCCTTTTTTTCATCATTTGAAATAGTTTGTAAATGATATATTTGTGTATTTTGAAGATAATTGCTTTGAAAATCTTCATCAGGTGGCAAAGCAGAAAGGCATCTTCTAATTCCTGATGAATGGATATGTCAGGTTTCAATTCATGGAAATTTTAATAGGCTGTGCTAACTGCACCATTATTATAGAACAGAAATTTCAGCTGTTTGGTTGCACTCACATTTAAGTCTTTTTACATTTTAAATTTTCCTTTGGGAATTGTATTTCAAAAGTATAGTGAAACCTGTCATGACAGTCAACCTTCCTGAACTAACCATATGTGTACATGAACTTTTTTTTTCTCAGAAGAGAACATATTCTCCATCCACCTTCTTTGACCTGATCAAGACCACCCACCACCACCTACCCCCAAAGATACTTATTGCTAAACTAACTGCAGCAAATGCTGCCTTCAAGCTGTGAACCTATAAAGTTGTATTCTGTCAGTCATGTGGAGTTTCAGCTGTTGGCTGCCTTTTTTCCTTGGAAGGGGGAGACTGGCATCTTCTTGAATTTAAATGGCCTTAGGAATTCCACACTTGGGTGGGGATGGGCTGAAATTAGCCATGAATGGAGATTCCCAACATATTTGTTATTAATCACCCCTTTTCCTTGAGATAATCTGTTTCCTCATGTCTAGTCAGTAACAAAATCAACATGAACAAACCTATTGAGATGACCACTTTCCGTCAGAACCATGAAAGGTCGTGACAGACAGGTTTCACTATATGTGAGAAATTATATACTATACTGTATATATAGTCCTGAAACCTTGCAATCTTGTTCTGGTGAAGTTTAGCCCCTGCATTGTAGCTTTATCAAAAGATGACACTCACATGTGGAGGGAGGTGGGAGAACCATTAATGCTGTCATCATCACAAACTAGATCAAGCCTTGTTTGCGGAAATTGAGAGATAGATTAGAGAAGACCTAGCAGTAAAAATACATCACACATGTCCAGTGTGCTCCTTCCTTTCCCAAGGCTTTTTCAGGTGGACACAAAATTTTATATCACATCAGAAAAGAGCTTCATATTTATTGAAGATTGAGACTTGGATTGCTTGCACCAAATTGGTTTGGCCTAAGCTGATCTGTTTTATCCCTTATGGAAGTAGGTTCATCTGAGTTGTTATTCTCATAGAACCTCAGTATGAAATAGTCTATAAGAGTTAAACATATTTAGAGCATGTCCCCTTAGATCTATTAAGCCCTTTGAAGAAGTGCAGTGCTAGTGCAATGTTAAGCCTATGTCTGGAGTGTTAGTTCCCACCTTTTAAATTGTGTAAGCACTTTACATGCATAAAATGTGAAGCTTTGGTAAACTTGGTGATGAGTGAAGGAAAGAACCATTACTTAACAATTTGAGTGGCCTATTGGAGCCACATAAAATTAAAAATTTTTCTTGGAGAGAATATAACATCTGTCCAGGGAAAAAAAGTCAATTGAAAGGAACGTAGGAGAAGTTATCACACTCACCTGGATTGTTACCTTTGGTTATTACACTAGCAGCAACCCACATCAATGCTTTTACGAGCAGTCACTTGTGTGAAGAGTCTGCCTTCGAATGTATGTAGGACTAACTGGTTAAGATGGACTGACTAAGGGTTGAATATATTGATATAAGTGAATGGATTGTGGTGTTTTCCAAGATAGGATTTGAAGGCAATGAAGAGATTTATGGAAGGCAGAGATATTTATCTCCAGTTTACACGGTTTCAAGAGTATATATGAAAATGGAACTATCTCAGAGATTTCTTGCTCAATGAGGAAATGATACTTTTTTTTTTACCCGCTTCTTCCGTTACATCTGGATTTTTTTGCAGAAATCAACCAAGCAGAGGGCTGGAGAGATGCACACAAGTAGGCCTAAAGCAGTATTTCCTTCATTTTTCTATCTTTCGGAGTCATATTTTTTCAACAGTTCTCCTTTAAGGGCTTCATGAGCCAGGTGGTGGAAATGTGACGGTGAGGTACAGGTTTTCCTGTGATAGAGGGAAGCTTTCTCCCAGTTGAGGCATGGTTGTATTGCTTGAAGGGGTGGGAGATAATGGTTGAATGGTGGGTGTGTTGGTAGATACGAGTGGTGAACGCTTTCCGAGCGGGACTGGATACTCGCTACGATCGCAGCAACCCGGCCATCCAGGCCATCCTACAGAAGCAGGCCTCCCTCTCCAAGCGCCTCTCACAGACGTCCTCCATCGAGTATGCCGACAACATCGCCGAGGAGCTCGGACTCCCTTCGCAAGTCGATCTGGAGCGCATCTCCTCGCATTCGCACACGGAGACTGCCGTGTAGCCGATCGAAACGTTCCGAGGAAGAGGAGCGTGAAGCATGTGAAAGACATGGACGCATCCTCGAAACGCAGAAGAATCTCCTTCCTTTCCCAATATCCTTTCACTCCCCCCTCGTTTCTCTTTCTCCAGCATTTGGTTCCATCATCTTTCCGTTCTCGCTCGGTTTTTTCTTTGTCTCCCTCTGTCTTTCTCATTCTAAGCTTGTGATAAGTCCAGCGGCAGAGTGTCTTCCTCTGTCTCATGCAAATATTGTTGACATCTCTCTCATATGAGAAATGACAGTTGGTTTTGTCATCTCTCTATCTCAGCGGTGCTAAATGATATGAACTTTGTTGAAACATTTCCTGTAAATACCCCCAATGTTCCACCTTTCCCTCTTCTCCACCTCCCCCGCTATTGTTACTTTATGAGAATGAGACAGGAACAATTCATCCTCGTGTGAGTGTGATGAAACCGAGCAAATATTAAATACAATATGGGGAAAAAGAAAGAAAAAAAAAGACAGCGTGAACGAGATGTTTCCATCGACAGTTTTCATATTTGCTTGCTTCCTTTGCTTGCTCTCATCCTCTCCCCCTTGTATGAGAGACTATACCTCACCTTGAGTTCATGGAGAGTCTGCAATTTTAGAGATGCTGCGTTTATTCATCTGATCCCTGCGATGTGGTTGGATGGCTCCCTCTATCTTCTTTGATCTCAACCTCCTTCTTTCTGTCTTTCTCTCTTTTGCTGCCATCCATTCATCCATCCAACCGAACCCAACATCTTACCTGCCCATCATACCATCTACACCTACCCTCGTATACCTATCTCTTGCCATAACATATCTGCATGGTAAACTGGATTGTTAGGACTCTGGAAGATGCAAGATTAGCTTTTTTCAAAGTGCATCTTTCCATCTATGGTAGCTAGAGAAGATCAGGACAGTTGACGATATTGTTGAGAAGCAATATATGATCTATAATAATTATTATGATAATTACGATCTATTGGGTGATTGCTTTGTTCCTCGGCTCTGTCTCTTTGGATGAAGGTGCTTTTTTCTGGGGCTTATGTTGGATGTGATATACTGTCCATGCCGACTGTTTCCGTTTTCGCTAGCCTCTCCCCCCGAATCGTTACATGTTGGCTCTGGTTAAAGACAGCTTGAAGAAAATCCTAAAGGATAGAAAGAAAAAAGTTTGTGCAACCCCCTCACTCGAGAGCCACCACCTGTTTCCATCCGTATGTTGATTCTCGCTGAAGATTTAAGGGTTTTTACAAATACATTTTTAATGCCACTTGGTGTCTTCCTTTCCTGACGTCGTGGCCGTCCGATTTGGTGTGCGGATGTAGAATGTGTAGGATATGAGCAATCGAAATTATGCCAGCCTGCATCATCGCGAGGCAATGAATTCGTCTAAGAGTGAGGAGACGTCGAGATGCAGAATCTAGAATTCGTGTCCTGTAGCGATACTCCTTTCACACTCATATTACCCTTATGTTAGTCGACTGGGTCTCGTGAGTAGATGGAGTTTCATCTAGAAGTAGCACCTGGACGTTTGGTTACTTTGCTCAAGTACTGCCGTGGCTACAATAAATTTCGCCAGTGTGAACGAGAATTTGAAAACAGGTTTGCCTCTTGGATGAGGGTTTGTCTCACCATGACAGGCATGGGTGAGACCCGTACCTCACTACTTGCATTATACAGTTTCGTATGTCCTGCATATCTTTTTTTAAATATTTCTTTTCGGATCTAATGTAAGTCAAAGAAATTATATGTGAATCATGCAGTAGGATAGTGGGAGGTTTGCATCGATTTTTTTCTTCCGAACTGCTCCGTCACCAAAGCGGCCGACGGAAGGACCCTCTTTCAACTCTGCGAAGTCACCATAGGCTTTCGCTTCAGTTCAGCGTCAATCCCGAAGGGATGTTCACATGCTCCAACTGCCAGGGCCGCCCAGAGGGGGGAGGCAATCTGCCCTGGGCCCCACATATCAAGGGGTCCCAAGGGGGGCCTCCAAAGGACCTCAAGGGGGGAGTCTAAGTCTCCAGTTTAGTTTTGCCCCGGGCCCCTGGAAATCTCTGGGCGGCCCTGCCAACTGCTTAAACTACATTCTACCACAACTAAATTATTAGTTCATCGACGAATTCAATCGAGAGATGGTGTTTTTATATCTACGGCTGAGAGTATGGTGCTGACGTCCTTGAGAATTCGTGGAAACTGGTTCGGTTGGGAAGAAATTAAAGCGTGGCCTTCCATGACGGAAGGAAAAGAAGCTTGTTCGAAACTGCGGTATCTTTTCCGGAACGATGGATCGGCCCCTCGTCGCATTTTGTCGAGCAATGAGCAATTCCACCTCTGGGAAGGTCCATCGCCACGACGCACGGTGGTCCTTCGGGCCGATTATGGATCGCTACCACATCTTCAGCTTTATGCGACGTCACCATGCTGTTTACCTAAGGCAGTTTTTTGAGCAACTACATGAAGAAGTGACCTTTCCTTAGATAACGTGCATAACTGGAGAAATACAAGAGATGAGGAATGCCTAAGTAGATACGAACCGGGTAGGTCTCACTCCAAGCTAATGTGATTTCATCAGATTCCATGGAGATGAGCTTCATCTAATGAAAAAAATTCTCTTACCCATGTTAAGCTAATCAAATTTTCCACGAAATCCGAATGAGATCCTTCAATTGAAGCTGATGTGATGCATATCCCTCAAAAGAAGAGGTGCCGTTACCAGCTTTCATTAGAGCGATGCTCGCTGGAATGCCGTTATCGGAACGGGTGGAGTTTTATAAGTCATGGGATTGTTACGGTTTGGCGTGTGGGTATAGTGCCTTCCACTCGACCAGTGAATCACAACCCGATCTGTAAGTAAAGAAGTAAATAAAATAGTCATGGAAGTCTGGAAACCGGGCCGATGTCGCGCTCCTACTGGCAGCTGCAACCCGAACCGAATGGGACAAGAAACTGAATAGGCCTACTTATAATTCGTCCCATCAAATGCGCAAGAGATACAGGAGTGTTATCTCCCACTTCCTATAACGTGTCTACCACTTGGGCCAGATGGAGGGAATGTCTAGTCCCGAATGAGAGGAAGGAAGAGGTGAGAGAGAGAGGATGCATACCGTCTAGGATCTCTCTTCCCAAGACGTCTGACAGAAGGGTAGCTGTATTCAGCCCCAAGCGAAGATGGGGAAACCTGACTCCTCGGACAGGTCCGATCCCTGAGCATGGACCTTCATTTCCAGGCATTTATGAAGAAAAGTTCCGAATTCAAATATAAAAAAAAACATGCGTTTACCTCTAGCATACGACGAGCGGTATGAAACGGGGAGTGAGGTGACGGGATTATTACACGAAGAGTTTATAAGGAGGGTCTGTTGACGGGTGAAGCGGGGAGCAGGTGCCCAACCGGAGACTTCCT